TAAACTTCTTTGCCGTAAAGAAAGGGATCGGCATATCTAGATGATCTATACAGGCACCTTCTTTTGCTAATCGGTCAGCATTTTCATTACCTGTCAAACCACAGTGTCCTGGTATCCACTGTAGAACGAAATCTGTGCCTTTTAAAATCAGCTCCTCAATAAATCCCTGGCACATGCTAATTTGATTTGTGGAACATCAGGAAGGATCTGAAATGGCAATTATAGGTAATGGATGTTTTCCCTTGTTATAAGTTAAACATTATTTGTTAATTAGCAGTAACTTTGTACGTTCATAATTTTATACTGTCGAGGCGACTGTTTTTTTTACAAAGGAGTGCGTCGGGTAAGGTTGTGGCATAATTTTTTGGTAAGGTTGTGGTATATTCTTTTGGTAAGGTTGTGCCACAAGTAATTTTTTTTTTTTTGCTTTTAGATACCCATAAAACGCTCGAGGAAGACCGAAAGGTGATTCTTACACAAATGTTTATGCTTTATTAGTTGTAAGCGATTATATTTTCCCACAACGTTATATAATACAAGAAAAGTAATTTTAAGACTATTTTTTTTTAACTGTCACTGTTATATTTTTTTTAATTTGTTCCTAAAAATAACAATTGTACTTAAATCTTAGTATTTATACTTAGCCAAGTATACACATTGCTATAAAAACATCTTTCTTCTCTAATTCTCTAATTGGTATGCTGAAAAAATTGACGTCGATTAAATGAAAATTTACAGAAAAGTATAATATTTTTTTTTTTTTAGAATACCTTAAAATGTTCAAAATTGCTTTCGACCATGTAATAAATTAGTTTTCGATTTGTTTAATATTGCTTTATTATTTTCAATAATGAACCATTGTGATCAACCAAAAAATTTAAAAACTTAACCTCTTCTCAAAATTTGAGGTTTCACGTTTCAGAATACGTAGGATTCGAAAAACGAATAAAAAAATTGTTGCCCGTCCGCCGTCCGCTGTCCGCGCATTTTATCAAAAATACATGACCGAATTTTTTCATATTTGGATATAAAATCAGAGGTCACTCGAGGATGATCCTCCTTCATCGACATTACTATCCGCTATTTACTTTCAAAATTACAGCTGAAAAACCTGCGTTGATATAGACTATAGCGCCTAAACGAATATACCGATTTCAATGAAACTTCGTTAAAGTAATGCTATTTTTTTTAGCATAGTACTAATGATTAAAAAAAAATGTTTACTCCAATAATTACAATCACCTTTTATTTATTTTTGTTTGTAACTAGGAAGGTAATGTTACTTTAGATGTATAATTGTTTGGAAATAATAAACCATTGTGAAATAATTTGCAGCGTTGTTTTTTTCTTCTGTTTTTCAATCATTTGGTAAATAGCCCATTGTACTTTTAATCATCGAACTAGACTGAAATTCAATAAGAATTATATTTAAAGCCGGTATAACTTTATAAAAAAAAATAAACGTTTTGAAAAAAAAAAAAAAATATTTTACTGAATAAAGCGATTTGAAGGGAGATTTATTCTATTTGCATTTATCATGGCTTATATCCCATATACCATTGTTCCATAAATTCCTGAGAGATGCTTTATATTCTTGTACAAGAACAATCCTTAATTCTAGAAGCATTTGGGCCTCCTGTATTTATTTTTACTCTTTATTTCTCCCAGCGATTCATTCATTCCATGCTCTACAGAGATTTCAAAATAGGATTAAAGCGTTTTCCTGGTATCGGTATATTGCGGCTATTTTATTTGTCTCTCGGTATAGATATCTAAAGCCCCTTTATTCAAACATATAAACTTAGTATATTTTTTTAGAAATTAATTATAGTTTTGAAAATGATCTGGAGTGTTGTTAGGTTATATTTTGCTATGCCGAAATTACAGGATAGTAGAAGCAAGCGTTGAGAAATAATGGACAAGACAAACAGGATTGTGCCCGCTGCAGTTGTGTACACGGCCAGACGGTCAACCAACTGTGTACAAATCCAATGTTGGAACTGCACTTGAAAATAAACAACTGATGATTTTGTTGTAACATTCAATATTACCGTCACTAAAATAAAATAAAATTGTATGCGGATGGTAAAGTTAAGCCTGCACCTACTTATAATTTTTAAAATCATTTGATGATTTTTATTAAGAGAGATTTTCATTTTTGATAATAACTGATTAAAATGATATTTTTGAACCAAATTTTTACAATTAACAATAATAATAATTCTTGAATAATACTTTTTAAACAGAAATATAATTTGTTTGTAATCTTTTTGATATATTTTTAGTTTATTTTTTACATAGAGATAGCAGCCCTAAGAACACTATGAGGAAGACAAGTTCAGAGCGCTGTTCTCTTTGTCGACTCTCAAGCACCAATCCTCGCCATTAATCATTAAGTTAATGATTTATAATAATTTTTATATAAAAACTTTTATTAATGAGTTTTTAAAATAAAAGTTAAGAAAATAACTGTTTTAAATAGCATGAATACCAGACAGAAACGGCAAGAAACCGCTCGACGTTTCCGATTACTTCAGCACTTACTACTTAGAGAGACTCTCTAAACTTCTAATTAATTGCAAAAGACTCATATACATGACTATAATAAGGCCTATTTGGACTTTCGAAGTTGAGCTATGAGGCTCCACTAAATCATCGAATTCCTCTTGTATTCAATCCTTACAATCCAATATGCTTCGTAAAATCCTCAATGCTCCCTACTTTGTTCCATATAAAACTATCCATAATGATCTTAATGTTTCATATGTTTTAGATCTGGCCCAATCCAGATACCTATCCTTCCACAATAAACTTCAGAATCATCCCAAACCTCTCGTTTCTAACCTTACTTCCTCTTCAATTCCTGATAACCGTCCGAGGCGTCTGAAAAGAAGATGGCCCCGTGATCTCCTAACGTAGACATATAATTAGAGTGTTATCATTAGGTAGTTTCCCAACAAGTGTTTTCACGTCATTATATCCATATGTTTAAATTTACTAAATGTATTTCTTTTATACAGTTGTAAATATCATTAAGAAATAAAAAAAAAGTAAAAGTTCAAAAAAAAAAATTATTTTTACTTCATTATATTTCACAACTTATTTAATATAATTTTTGTAAAGAAAATGGTTCAAACGATTTTAATTAAATTCGTTCTATCAATATAAAATTACATCATCTTTATATGGTTTAGGTTTGATCCTCATTAAATAGCTTACCAATTTAATTTTTTTCTCGCTTTTTACCTTTCATTATCGTGTAGCTATGACGAATACATTACTTTCGAAAACATCTTGTCAAGTACCGCCTGTTTATTGAAAAATATATCGTTAAGTATGTAACGTTTTTCGAGAACTAACTAAATCAGTAAGTAATTTGGTAACTTTTCCCTCTATGACGTCAATATAAAAACATTATGCTCTTTGTGTAACTATTTTTGATAGATTTTAGGATTAGGCTTTTTTGATGTACTTAAAATATTAATTCACAAAAAGGGACTTCAAAATTCAGCTGGTGATATCTAAAGTGTACCTTGTTGCGATAATTCAAGGATATGATCGCCTTAAAATTAATAAATTGTTCGATTAGTCATTTTTACATAAAATCGATTATTATATTCTGTTTAGTTAGTTTTTCGCTTACCAAATTAGGTTTATTTGTATTTAAACTCTTTAAAATGCTCCACAATGCTGTTTATTCAAAAAGCAAATAAGGCGACATTAATTCCGAAACGCAATTTATTCTGTGCATAATTTGCAATTTAAAATGACTTTCAAAAGAGTTGTTAACACACCTGTCAGTTGCTTTTTAATTGAAAAATTAATTTATGAATGAATAATTCTTGTTTACAAACACATTACCATATCAAAAGAGAGAACACCCTGTAAGAATGTTCATATTTTCTCTGTAACATATTATATCCATTACAAATTCAAAAATACTAAATAATAAATTATTCTCCTAATAAGCCAGACCTATAATAGTTATTTTTTAAATGAAATTTCGTTAATCTGGTTATTAACTATTCCATAGTTTACTAACCAATAGTTCTTATTTCTATTCTATAGTTATTTAGTTTATATATCCAGACATACGTTCTTCCCATTAATTCTGTATCACGGAAAATCATTGCCATTTTGGTTAATTATTTTCAATAATGAACTATTGTGGTGAAAAATTTAACCTCTTCTCAAAATTTGAGGTTTTATGTTTCAGGATACGTAGAATTCGAAAAACGAATAAAAAAATTTGTTCGCGCATTTTCTCCAAAACCACTGGCCGATTTTTTTTTTTCAAATTTGGATATAAAATCAGAGGTCACCCGAGGATGATCCTCCTTCATCGACATTACTATCCGCTTTTTACTTTCAAAATGGCGGCTGAAAACCTGCGATGCTATAAAGAATGTATCGATTTCAAAGAAACTAGGCTAAAGTCATTTTCTCGACGGCCTTTAAATTTATCTATATAATATACTTGAACCAAAAGAAGCTAGAAAAAAAGTTACGAAGGGTGGTAAAATTAAATTCCGAATAACACAAAAAGTATAATCTTTTTTGTCGATATTCTTATGTTTTTTTTTTTAAATTTTACGGAATTTTCTAAACAAAAAAAAATCGTTAAAATCGGACAATTAGGAGCAAAGATATGGTCTCTAGTTTTTTAAAATATGTTCTACTGCAAAGGTTATATCCTTTGTTTTGGTTTTTGAATTTTGAATGTGTTACTAAAGTAATGCTATTTTTTTTAGCATATTACTAATGATTAAAAAAAGAAGTTTAGTCCAATAATTGGAATAATTGTTTGGAAATAATAAATCATTGTGAAATAATTTGCAGCGTTTTTTTATTAAATTCATATTTATTTTAAGACCTAATGTGTTACAGCATTTGTCAAAGTTTAGTTATCTAATTCAATAACTTCCACTTTTTGGACGAAAATAATTACTTTGACCCAACTAATTTCCTCGAGCTCATTGAAGTCTCCTGAAAGAATGGTTTCAACTACGATTGATGTTATAATACAATAAAACGCACTCACCGACAACAGTGAGATAGACTGGATGACCAATGGGAGGCGTGGTGCTGATCTGACACTCGTAGATTCCGGAGTCTTTCCTCTGAGGATAACGTATTCTCAATGACCAATCTTCGGTGTGCGGGAGGTGGATGGCCTCGAACCTTTGGTCGGAAGTGTACGTGTACCTTCCCACTGTCAGCAAGTGGATATCTCGATGTCTCACCCAAGAGACCTGTAACAAAATGGATAGCTAAAATCAACAATCAATATCAGTACGAAAAAAAAAAACTTAAACCTTATCATAAAATTCTGGTGCGCTCAACACACAACTTTCACTTACCACTCAACTTTGAATAGAAATTATTTTCTGGCCATGTTGGGTTATTATATAATTTTTGAATTGCATTTTTAACTGAACTAAAGCTAAAAGATTGCATGCAGCTAACAAATTATAAATACTATTAAAATAACAAAAGTCCTACTTATTATATAACCGGTTGATTATGGATTGTACGACTATTATTTATAAAACTGTTATTTTCCATTGCAAAGTTTGTTAAAATGGAATTAAGAGATTTCCATTAAATATATTATTTCTTTGTTGTGGGGACAACATTTTCTTACATCAAAAGCATTCAATCCTTTCAGTCCAAAGTCCTTCGATCAATAGTTGTGGCTCGGTTCTATCTAACAAACAAAACCCTACACTATGACCTAAATATCCCATTTGTCCTAGACCTTATCCCTGAATTTTTTTCTAAATTCCATCAAAACCTTACTTATCATCCAAACCCAATCGCACAATCCATATGAAGCTCTACCCACCCCTACAATCCTCCTCGAAGGTTGAAGCACTAGCGGATCCAGGATTTATTTTTATTTTTTGGAGTGGGGAGGGCTTCAGCCAGGAAGATAGTTTTACATGTATTTTTTCATATATATTCGAAAAAAAATATCTTATGTCTTGTATTATTGTTGCATATATTATTATCAATGTCATTAATGTTTTATTTTAAATTCTGACGGTAACATTTTTATTACTTTAATATGTAGTATATTTTTAATGAATAATATTAGTGATGTGTTGGTACTGTGGTAAGTATAAAATAGCCAGCCATACCTGAAATTGTTCTATACAAAATACAGAATTCTACCTATCTATCTATAAAAATGTCTTTTTAACTTTAATGTCTTGGCAGATTTTTAGCAATTATAGTTGTTTAAGGTAATAAGAAAAATGAACATGGCCACACCAATAGACATGATAGGTAATTCACCAGCAAAATAAGTTAAAGAAAACACTGTGGGCTTCTCAGTGAAACATAATCTGTTTCTTTTAGTTGTAATTTTATCGTTAATGTAGTGTGATACAATTGTATCCTGATATGGTAAAATATTCAATAAATCAACCTATTTCATCCTACAAAATCTGAGCCGTATGTAGCATAATTGAAATATGAAATAATTTATTTTTCATTTCTTGCGAAGATAAGATTCCTAGTTATTTTAGTTGTATTAAATGTGACCCAAAAGGTTAAAGTGAAACTTTTTTAAACTGTTTTTTTTTTTTTTACCGATATTCTATTTGAATGATAAATCATGAAAAGTTCTAATATATTAAAGTTTTAGAACTTCTCAATGCCTTTATAGCTCTCATAGGGAAATAGATGAGTATTTCTGGCAAAGTCTCAACTTGTTCAATCGATAGTTTTCGCTATCACAAACAAGAAAAAACTTGTTATTTTTGTTTGGATAGTAATTATATTTTTCTGGGAAACAGAATTATATATTTTAATTCATCTTTTTTTTTTCTCCTAGAGAAATAAGTTCATGTAGCTTCTAGTAGCTTGGTCAACCGTAGCTTGCTTTCTATTCGTCTTGGGCGTGGGTAATGCTTATTCTCAAATCCCTGAGGTCGTGTTGCACGTTGTGCTTCCTCCGGTCTCTCTTTATCTTGAGTTTCTTCATAGAACTTCCTCTGCGACATACTCCTACAGAATCTTCAGGAGATGGCCAGCAATTTCAGGCATTGTACTTTTGATGAAAACATATCTTTATACACATGATATAACTTTTTGTAATGGCGACGTCGCTACACTTCCTCTTCATACTTAGGACCCAACATTCATTTCAGGATTCTACTTTCAAATTTGTCTCATTTTTCAGTAGCTGTTCTTCTGAACTTGGTCGCATGGCTGATCAGTCTCCTTTTCAGGATTTTCGTTAGGCTGAAGTAAACAAGTTAAACAGCCTGATAAAATACTCTCATTCAATTCCTCATCCTCATTCAGATCCTCATTGATTGAACTAGTACAACGAAGGTGCTAAAAGCTTATGACAATTTCATGAATGTAGTTCCCAATGACGTACTCTTATCGGCGGATTTGCTTCTTCTTTCTCAATACTAGGATTTTAGATTTTGTTTATCGTCTAAGTTCTCCATCCGTAGTAAAGACATTTTAATGATAGGAAACGACCGCTCGATTATCATAACATCCGTATACGCTAGAACATGGGCCTAGAGGAAAAAAGAGGGCTCTGGGACACTTTGCTAAGCAGCTTATCAAAGGCATAATTTTTCTATGAATTGAAAAGTTTCAGGCTTATACGGAGCTGAGTATATCTGTCCGCCATCTTGTTTTATTTTATATAACCCTCGGAGGGTTATAAGGGATCGAATAGGTTAGAAACGAGAGTGTTTGGATGGTTCTGAAGTTTGTTATGGAAGGGTAGGTATCTGGATTGGGCCAGGTGAGAAACATAAGGAACATTAAGGTCGTTTCGATGGCTTAGTGGAAGTCCAAATAGGTCTCATTGTAGTCATGTATATGAGTATTTTGTAATTGACTGGGAGCTTAGAGCGTTTGTCTAGTAAGTGCTGGAGTAGGCGGAAACGTCGAGTAGTTTCTTGTCGTTTCAGTCTGGTATGATAATTCCAAGTTAGACGTTTTTCCAAGTGGAGTCCAAGGTATCGGATTTGTTCAACAGGGATAAGTAGGGTATTATTAAAGGACACTGTAGGACAGGAGGACATAGGTTTACGACGAAGGATAAAGGTGATTTGATGGGATTTATTGGAATTTATTTTTATCCCTCAGTTTTGACAACATTCTTCAAGGTTTATGATGTGTGATTGAATGGATGGTTTAAATTCAAATTTGGCACTTAATGTTACTTGATCAAATGGCAAATGATTTCAGAAGGAACCAAAAATGTACCAGAAGTTTTCCCCCTTCTTTCGTTGGGTAATTTGTTTGAATACTGTACTTTTAAGTACTAACACAGCACTTTTCACAGTTGTGTTTGGTGTGAAATATTGAAGCCAAATAGATCCAAAAGTTCTCTCTGGCTTTATCTGTTACCAACCTTAAATTCTATCCAAGATCATCCTATATATATATATATATATATATATATATATATATATATATATATATATATATATATATATAATATAAGAAGATATAATTATGTTACGGAGAAAATTAAATTAAGAATCAAATTGTCAATATCAGTTAGTGACATTTTTCACATTAATTTAATAGAAGTTATCTTTTGAATAGCCTGCCTATATGTCACTCTGAGAAGAAAGAACATTTGTTACCGAAACGATCTTACGAACTAGTTATTCGAAAAGTTTCATCGAAAACACCTCAATAATTTTGAAGAATCAGAGAGATAAATAAAATACCTAACTTTTGACAAGTAGTGAAAATATGTAATAGTTATGAGAAGTTTATTAAAATACGATCCAATAATTACTGTATACAATAAATGCTTATAATTAAATAATTTAATGTTTAAAACTGAATTTATCCAACCCTCTGTACCGACAGACAATGTGCAATGTGAAGTCCAAGCGTTGTAGCCCGTGGTCCTACTAATCTATTTCTCAAACTATTACTAGTATATAAATATTAATTCTTTAACCTCTGATATCTGTTTAATAAATGAGTTTGAAATATATGTTAATACGAACTTTTTTGCTTATTTTGTGTTAGTGAACACATACCTAAAATAGTGCCGTGCAATTACGAAACACTCTTTATATTTAATAATATAAGCAACAAAGAGCGAATAAATGTCATAACGCAATCTGAGATTTTGTGAAGGGATAGCAAACTTATGTTATCAGTGGCCTGGCTGCCTAATCAGGGATATTCACCTACTTTGTTTAAAGTTGTTTAACAGAGAGCCGATAGAATCTGCTCGCGTGAAGGTGCAGGAGCTTCCGCCGCTAAATAAGTTTAGGTAACTCAACCCACGCGATTAAACTTACAATCTTCTTGCCGATCAGCTATCGAGAAAAAAAAATAAAAGCGAAAGTTTTTAAAAAGTTTATTAAAATACAAAATTAATCCAATAATTATTGAAGTAGTATCAATCCAGTTGGTTCGAGGGAATAATTCGGAGTGTAATCGGTCATTGAACAATAGAATCTATATATATAAAAATGAATGTATGTCTGTCTCTCTGTCTGTTGGTCCTTTGTGCATTACTAAACCATTCAACCGATCGCCAGGAAACTTTAGGAAGTTGTTCCGTACATTCCTGGAAAGTTTTCTGGCACAGTACTTCTGTCTTACGATAATTTTATATATAATAATAATAATAAGGCTTAGCGAACCCGAAGGTTCGATGCCGACACCACCAATCGCTTGTTACACACCTCTCTCCACCGTTCGCCGCTCAAACCAAGTTCCTTCAGATCAGCTTTAATGCAATCTTCCCACCTTCGCTTCGGTCTACCCCTCGGACGCTTACCATTCGGCACAGCAAATATTAACCTTTTAGGAATTCTCTCGTTACTAAGCCCAACAACTTTACAAGCCCATTTGATTCGCCGCGATGAAATTATCTCAATTATATTACTCGGATACAGCTCACGCAATTCGGCGTTGTGTAATCGTCTGAACTCTCCGATTAACTCATCCTTCTTCGGTCCGAATATTCTATGCAATACTTTATTTTCAAAAACCTTAAGACGCTGCTCATCCCTTAATGTAAGCGGCCAAGTTTTGCATCCATAAAGAACTGTAGGCAAGATAATTGTTTTATAGATTCTAATTTTTAAGTTCTGGGACAAGAGGCGCGAACTAAGTAGTAATTTTTAATTTTTAATTTTATATATGTAAAAAAAAAAATAAAAATGTAGATGTTTTACTGTTCAAAGCCGCAAAAAAATGTGTCGCTATAAACTATAGCGCCAAAACGGCTTTACCGATTTTAACGAAACTTGGCTAAAGTCTTCCATTTGAAACCCTTTTAATTTGAGTGTATAACATACTTTCCCGGAAACAAGCTGACAAATGTTACGATGAATTCAATATTTTATTGGACGATAAAAAGTACAGAATTTTTGATAATACCAGCATTTATATGAAATATTTCTGAATTGCTGACAAAATGAAAATAAAAAAATCATCGAAATCGGACAGTTCGTTGCAGAGTTATAGAGATTTAAACATTTACTGCTCTTCAGAAAAGGCCATTTCCTTCTGCTTCTTCACTACTACTGAAGGTAGGCAAGCATTTTTTTTTTTTTATTGATTAATCGAAATCTTTATAATTACTACAGTAATTGAAATTATCATTTGGAAAAGTTATATGATTCTCTTTATGTAGGTCGATACTATTATACGTTTTTTATATTAATTTTTTATTTTAGTTTTATAAGTTCAACTCAGACTTTTTTTGATGATTGTGAATGATGGTGCATTCACTCAGATGATTATGAATGTTCAGTTTGAATCATGGAAAAAAAAATCATTAGAATTAGCTTAAATTGAAGCCATTTTACAGACAAATTTGTTTCCCAACTTAAAAAAAAATTGACAGATGTCCTTTGCTATTAATCTACTTATATGTGCTTTGTATTTTCTTTCTTTTTCATTTTTCCAGGCTAAGCCACAGCAGCGCGTGGCCGGGTAAAACTAGTTATAACATCAAAATAACTTAATGTAATAAATTATGAGAATGAGGCATTTATTTTATTTCTTCATTTCTAAACTAACAAAACATCACAATTTTTACAAAACATCACGACCTCAGACTAGCCTTACTAAATTAACAAAATCACTTACTAAAATTATGGATCCATACTTCGCCAGTTATAGAGAATGGATGGATGGCTGCCGAAAAAATACTCTACTTTCTATTGAAGAACAAATCCTATTTCTTGAAATAATGAAAAAACATAAAAAAAATTAACGTTATATATACTGATGCTTCAAAAGTAAACAACGAACTAGGATGCAGTATTGACAGCTCTCAAATAGAAAAGTATTTGAAACTTCCGGAAATCTGCTTTGTGTTTAGTGGAGAGATGATTGAAATTAGAGAAGCTTTAATGGACAACGGAGAATAACAAAATGGTCGTGGTAACGGACGTGAAGAGTGCAATTCTAGCATCGAAAGAAAAAATAAAACACCGACAACCACACTGGCGAGATCTATTAAAAATATCTGATGGAAACTAACAGAAAAAGAAATAATATTCATGTGGGTCCCTTCACACTTTGGAATTGTCGTAAATGAACAGGCAGACAAAGCAGCAAATATAGATTGAATCCAGATAGATAGAAATCTAACACTTATAATTAACGAAATCCCGATAGAAAATTTTATACAGCACATAAAAAAAAATTGCGGATAATGTGGAAGAAAGTATGACAACAAAAACAAGCCAAATTAAAAGGAATAAAAAGGCACTGTTCCAAATGGGAAACTAGTAACCGTATCTCCAGAAAAGAAGAGACAGTCGTCTGCCACTTAAAAATTGGACATTGCGAATTTCCACATGCCTATTTACTAAGAGGACTAGAACCACCGACTTGCGAGAGCTGTAAGGTGCGAAGAACAGTACAACACATCATCCAAGACTGTCCAGTATTTAAGAATATAAGGAAAAATTTGGATATGGCTCAGAGTCTAAAAGAAAACCTCACTGATAACGAAAAAGTCGTGGAAAAAGACTTGCAATTTCTAAAAATCAAAGAATTCTACAACAGAGTATGAATAGGAATGTTGCCAATGACGCTTCAGGATAGATGCAAAAATAAAAACAAATAAATAAATAAAATTACAAAATTGGTAATCACTTTGGAAAATTAGATTAAATTATGACAAATCACAATATATAACATTTACTTTCGACGAGACAAATGTCCACCTTTTTATATCGGAGACAACAAAATCCCTCAGAGGGACTAGTGTACGTTACCTCGAGCTAATATTCGACAGAAGGATGACCTCGGCCCACATGTTAAAATGACACGAAAGACTTTTAACAAGCGACTGAAAATCAGACAAAAACTAAATACATATTCTTACCTATTCAAACCCATATGGCCATACCCCTAAAAAATTTACGGTTCTGCAAAAAAGACGCACTTACAAAAACTAAAATAATTTCAATCAAAAGTTTTAAGACTAAAAACAGCAGCTCCCTGGTACTTAAACAACAAAACTTTACATACCGACTTACGACAACCAACTATCGACCAATACATATGTGATCTCTGCTCCCGATTTCATCTTAAACTACACGGACATCACAACGGACTTATCAACG